ATATATACATGACTACACATACATACATGCATTCAAACTGCACATACATACCTACAAACATTCATACCTACCTACATACTTACATACATACATAGGTATTGATAAGTATTGATTAGATGAATTAGCAGTGATTGGTTTGACATCCTCAGTTTGTCTGTACAAATAAATACAAGCATACATACATTATTATATAAATACCTACAAACATTACAACATACTTACACACAATAGATGAATAGTACATAAATACACAAACCAGACGTCAGACAGTCTGTTGTTCAGTGTCTGTTTGAATAACATTAGGGATGTGCACGTGTTTAATAGTATTCTGGTGCACTCATCTATACATTTAACCTCATTATAGATGGTATTACCTGGTGTTTGCTGTGATGCACAATATATTATACAGCAGCAGAAATATACAGTGGGTGTTTAATTATGGATCCTCCTCCTTGCCACAAACAGCAATCAGCATGTGCCTCCCCCTCTTCAGGCCCCCACTGGGTGCAGGTGCACGAGCTCTCACAGCTCCATTAACAACAACAGGTCGTGCATATTTTTCTTGGCCTGTGGTTCCTCTTTAATTACGATCTCACCTTCACATTTTATTCATTGTAAGCTGAATTTATTAAAAAGGCGTATCTACCTACCTGATCTCACCCCATGTCCTTATCCGAGCATGTCAATGAGCATTTTATTAACCACTTTAAAGAATGTTTTAATGTACATTTAATGTCCCTGGTAGCTTTGGTCAGGTTCATTGACTCGCAGCACTGTTGAGTTATCAATAGAATAAATAAAGTTCACCTGCAGCATTTCAAATATTCCAAAATCTAAAGCACATTTCTGCATGTAAAGATATACACACAAAACAGGGAAATGTGCTTACTGCTGCCCTGTCATGATCACAGCAATAAATTCAAGCAGCCTGCAATTGTAAATAGACATAAAGGGCAGTAAAGCTCTCCAGCGGATAGTGAACACGGTGAAGGATCTCATCAGGACTCAATCTACACCTCATGATGCCTGCGGCGGGCTCACAACATCATTAAAGATCCATCCCACCCGAGCCACCACCTGTTCTCACTCTTGGAAGTTACAGACTCGGTGCAGTTTGGACTTCCAGGATGAAAAACAGTTCCTGTCCCAGCAGTGGTGGTTCTATTAGAGCACTCTGCTTTTACCCTCGTAGTTCACGAACCCCCAGTGTGAAATAACTGGAGCACAGGCTCAGTACTTTCATATACCTGGTAAGTCTTTTGTCTTTTTTAATCAACATTTATCTTCCCTTCCTTTTATTACTTTTATAATCCATCACATGTGCTGTGCGCCAGGAGAGTTGAGTAATTTTCTTGAGTTGAAGGATGACAATAAAACTCTGTTCCATGTTCAGTGCCGTCCAGTGTCTCCAAAACGTCTCAGGAAAACCAGCCTTGTTTTAAAATCAAGTTTTCAAA